GCTGAGCAGGGAGCCCGATGTGGGACTCGATCCCAGGACCCTGGGATCATGACCTGAGCCGAAGGCAGATGCTTAACGACTGAGCCACCCAGGCGCCCAAAGATTTTTTTTTTATTTCTATATATTCTAAAAAGAGTTCCCTGCTCCCCCTTTGTAAATGAATGGGGAGGAGAAGAAATTTGCCACATAGTGGTAGAATTTTTGAAATGCAGAGAAGAGCAAGCAGTGAAATTCACTACCGTCTAGTATCAGGGTGAACCCGCCCAGGTCTCTTATTTGCCATTGACAACCGGGATAGTCTGAGACAGGGTACCTAACCTTTGCCAGGAGATAGAAAATGCTTTAAAAGTAGGTACTGCAGGGGTGCTTGGGTGACTCAGGCATTAAGTGTCTGCCTTTGGCTCAGGTTATGATCCCAGGGTCCTGGGATCAAGCCCCGCATCAGGTTCCCTGCTCAGCAGGGAGCCTGCTTCTCCCTCTCCCACTCCCCTCTGCTTGTGTTCCCTCTCTTGCTGTGTCTCTGTCAAATAAATAAATAAAATCTTAAAAAAAAAAAAAGCAGGTACTGTTGCGTAATAGATATGACTATGAAGTTATTATGATTCAATACCTAAAACATTTTAATGGCAGTGTAAATAAAGGACTTTACTTTTAGTATTTTCTGTGATAGTTAAAATGAACAAAGTGGGAAAGATTCCCAAGCTCGACTGGGAATGAATGAATGACATAACAGAGGCTTTGTGATAGCCTGCCCACCTATGTGACAGGCATCTGTGTTTAGGGCAAAGACTTTTTATCCAACAGTTCCCTTAAATAGGTAGCTCACCCAGATAATAGAAACCAGAGAGCTAATTGTAACTTACTGGTTATGAGGTGATATTTTAACTACTACTTGCATCTATCACTGTTCTAGACATTAAATAGGGCAAAATCACTGGCAGCAACAACTCCTAAGGAAGGACCCTATCAACAGCAATGAATTCTAATAAGAAAACACTTCTTATTTAGGGAGTTAGGATTACTTTTCATAAATCGAGTTGGCTTTCAACCATCGTTCTTAGCATAATGATTACTTTCTAGAAAGGAGGTTTTTCCTTCCTTGAGAGGTTGCATGCCATGATTAGATCAGAAAGCTGTCATAGTGAAAACTTTAATCAGCTTTGCTGCCTCCTTTCAGTCTAGAGATATCTGTAGCTTCCATATGGGGCAGGGATTTCCATCCTCACCAAATGTAAATGATGCCCCAGGGAGGCATTATGGAAAAAATCATGTTCCTTTGGGGCTGTTCACTGCTGTGGCCAAAGGATTCTTTCCAGTTTCCCACCCAGATGGAATTTGTGGCAGCTTAACAGCCTGGATGCTGATGTGATAAAAAGTATAAGATATTGAATTTCTATGTGTCTATGTGATTTCAGCTTTGATCTTCATTTTTGATTGTGCAATTAATCATGTCCACGTCTGTCTGAGCCTGGTGCTCTAGGAGGAGATACTTTTCCCATTATTTTAGTCCTAAATACATTCTCCAATTTAAAAGGAATCCACAGTGTGAAACTTTAGCTTAGAAAAATCTATATTCATTCTGTCAACAAAGTAGTACATTGAATAACTGAGTTGCTATTTCATGATATTGCAGGAGTTTGACCAGGATGAGGACTGCAGTCATTCCATATTGGTTAGTGAAGGAGGAGATCCAAGTGGTGATGGACAAGATTGGCAACCCAGGACAGAAGGTATCTGGCTTCTGTCCTTGATGTGTTCACAAAGATAACACTGATTATTTGGCTCCCCCCCACCCCAGTTTCAATAGTGCTCGGTAGAGAACTTTAAAAACACAGAAAAGCACAAAGGTCAAGAAAACACGCTCACAGTCCTATTCTTTGGTCCTTTTCTCAGTCAGAGTCTTGGCCACTTGCCGGTCAAAATGGCCATCTCTCTTATGTCTCTCTCTTGACTCACTCCACTCCAGCTCAGCCGGCCATCCTCTCCCCCTTTCCTTTTTGTCTGATAACATCTCTCCCCCCATTTCTTTCCTCTCAGAATCTTCCGTCAGCTTCAGGGATCTGTTTTCTTCCAGAACCAAGCATTTCTCCATCAGCTGTTATCCCAGAGCTTCTCTCTTCAGAAAAAGATGGGGGGCTGAACAAGGCACTAAAGCCCCAAGTCTCAGTCTTTTGTTCCGTGAGGACATAAGTCTGGAATTTTCCAGAACAACACCCATTCCAAATATGTTATCTTGTCATTTGCCTGAGTGGCTTTGCATTTAATAGACCACAAGGTATTTGCAGATTCTCACTTTCAGAAAATAGTCTCCACAGCGATCCCAATGATCTGCTCACCTACAAATTCATTAAATTAAATGTTTATTCACACTGCTACTGTTTCTCTTCGGCAATTTTCTGGCTTCCATTTCTAACTCTCCAGGGAGGCTGTCCTCTTGGATTCTTTTCTCTGCAACCCAGTGAACCTCCCCAAACACTGCAGCGCTGTCCCAACCACATAGACACATAGAAATTCAATATCTTATACTTTTTATCTCCTTTGGCCCATTATGCGATGCTGCCCTCTCCTGGGGAGCTCCTGCCTGTCTCAAACTCACTTGGACTCTCCTTTCTCCAGGCTGAGGGCGGAGAATAATTTAGTAACATTTGAAATAATGAACACCATGAAACCTCAAAAACCTAATTAAAATGAAAAAATCCTGGCCCTCTTCCAAACACCCCTTGTGGGCTGACTTTGACTTTCGAACACTTCAAAGCAGAGTTCTCAGAACAATTGTGTCCCAAGTACCCTCCAGGAGCCTAGATAATTTGCTTATTCTACTCAATTTGGAGATGACTTGCCATTTGAGGTGCAGTTAATTCTTTTGAAATAATTTATAATTTTTATAATTTTAAAATACACCGACTTTTCTTATAGGAGCCATAACACTTGGGTAGGTAACCTCCCCGCTAAGCTCTTGCTTAAAATTTGAACTTTTATAAGGGGTTCCAAATTTGAAAGAAGCAGTTATGTTTCTGATACATTTTCTTCTCATAGTTATTAGTCTATAGTAGTTACTCTTTTAAGTCGTAAGTCTGAAATAACAACGTTTGGGGCACTACTGTGCGTTGTATTCATCTTAAGTATCAATATATCTCTTTAACCCCCATTTATGTGTTTCTAACATACTCGAGGCTGTTGATGTTTAAGTGCTGGAACACCTTATACTTTCTGCATATGCCATATGAGTATCCTGATGTAGATATACACATTTAATCATTTAGTTTATCTCTGCGTGTTCACTGTATTCTATTCAAAAGGGAGCATCACTAAAATATATATAAACTCTATAATGTTTAGATCACACCCACAGACTTTAACAGCTAAATATTCCTGCAGCATGCATTGGCTTAATTATAGGCTTTTATAGATGGTAATTTATAAAATACAATTTATGGCTCCCCTAAAAAAAATCCCTCATCCTTTTCCTTAGTATAAAAATCTTCTTGCGCTCATCAATCAGCTACGTTCCTAGAACGATTATTAGATGCAAACCTTGAAGACTACATTGAGCATGGAAAATTACTCTCTTCATAAATGGAATAAGAACTTATTTCCTAAAATTACTGGGCT